TCCCACGAGTGCGAGTTGACACCGCTTGAGTGAGGATCGTGCAGCTCTAGTTGATAACGAGTTATTTTCGCTTACCCTCGTGTCGTGTGAGCGACTCGTCATGTCTTGGAGCGGTGGTGAGTTTAAAAAACCTTTATTTGAGGACACCGGCTCCTTATGTGTGCGGCCGCTGTGAGCTCATCCGAGCTTACAGACTGGCTAAAAAACAGACACTTTGATCATTGAATGATGATTTATTTCAACTTTCGTGTCACTTTTACACACACCCTCCGGAGACCGTCATTTTAAAAAACTTCTCTCTCATGAGCTCTGCGATTGTTTGCCCGGAGCGCTGTCTTGCAGGCGAACTCTGGGGAAACGCTGAGCTGCAGGTTGCCGGAATGAAGAGGGCTGGATTCTGACGGGCGGGGCTGGTGGTGGAACTGAGCGAGAGCCGCGGCCGTGGAAAAGTCGATGCTTGCTCGCGACGGTCCCTCCAGCGGGCCGGGATGAGCCGCGCGGCTTGATGAGGTGGCGCACAGCCTCTGGCACCTCCTCCGACTGCTTCAATTCGCTAGCATGGTTTTGAAGCTGCTCTGAACAGCGCGTCCGCGATGGGGCTTCATTAGGTCTTGTGCAGTTTCTCCGGCAGCGAGGGGAGTAACGAAGCCAGGTGGATCGTTGGATCATCGTCATCCACGCTGCAATCCTCGACAGGCAAACCGTAGGAGAGGCACACATGTTGAGCTGACGTCAGCTGCCTTACAGAGGGAGTTCTTTGTCTCCAAGGCAGGTCTGCGGCCTTCAGTCCCTTGGACATGCTATATGCTAGCAGCGCCACGTTGTTGCTAGCTGCGGCTGCCTGAAAAACACATTGGTGGGCTCGATTGGAGAGCGTGGTCACCGTCTGGTTCGTGTTCCTCCGGAGAGACGGGACGCTGCTCCGACCTGGGCAGCTTCGCTCCGAAAGCTTCCGCGAGGCTTGGCTCCAGGGGGGTTACCGAGGAATAGCCCCGCTCGGTGAATCCCTCAACTCTGGTGATGGGTGCGGACTGGGGACCGACTCCCCCAATCTACCAGGAAAGAACCGTCTGTGGCCTCGCCCGTCAAACGTCCTGTTGGAACACGAGGCTGTATGGATCAAGACGGTGAGCCAGAGTGGAGCCCAGTGAAACAACCTTCCCGCCGGATCATCCGAACTGGCGGGAAAGGCGTGGGACGTAGAAAAAAAGGGGTCCCTTCATGTCAGCCTCCTCCTGGGTTCCGCCGGGCAACCGTGAGGGCGCTGTCGGCCGGGAGCGGTGTGATTGCCGATGCGAAACGAGGTGGGATGGGGTGAGCATTCACTCAGCCCCCCTCCACCTACACTACGCTCCCCAGGAGGGAATGAGCAGCGGGGGCTGCAGCTGAGCACGCCTTGTCCCGGAGGAACCATCCGGTTCGCCCCGAGGGTCGGCGATAAGAGGAAAAAATACAAGATGGCGTTGTCCAGCGTGTAGTGGCCTGTCACTGGGAAATATTCCCCGGCGCTTACCTTGGAATAAGACTGCTCGTCATCTTCTCCTCGGGGAGGAGAACTCACCGGACGACCGGAGGTCGACTGCCGGGCCAAGCATCCTTCACAAAGGTTGGTCATTTACACAATTTACCTTCTTTGTTCTTCTGACAGTGCTATTTTTAGCTCGCTGAAGAAAAAATGGGAGCCGATTTCCCGCTCTTAATGTAATTTATATGGACCGGGTGGGGCCCACACAGCAGGTGGGCGTGGACTAAATTTTTTCAGTGCTTATGCTACGCATAACGGGATAAACCCATCAGCGACAGCCTTAAAGGGCGAAGCCTATATGACATAGAACAGAGATTCACAGATTCACATTTCTGTTAGGCAGCCGGTTCTGAAACACTACAACTCTGGTGTGTATGTTTGCATATATCCTCCTCGTTCAGTGAAGCCATGTAAAGTTCTGTACGAAGGAGTGTGTGTCACCTTGCTCATCCAGGACTTGCGCTTGGCTCTCCTCCTTTTCACGGCCTCCCATAAACGTCTCTGCCCTTAAGACAAAACACAACAAAAAGACACAACCAGAGACAGTTAGAGAGCAGAACCTCATTCTAGTGACTGTTTTTGGTTTGAACAGACCTTTACTAAAGTTTCATCCTGTGTCGGCACACACAGGAGGTTATAAAAGTATTACTAACAGAGAATACTAATACTAACAGAGAGAATAATAACAAAGAATACTAACAGAGAGAATACTAATATTAACAGAGAAAATACTAACAGAGTATACTAACAGAGAGAATACTAATACTAAAAGAGAAAATATTAACAGAGTATACTAACAGAGAGTACTAATACTAACCAAGAGAATACTAATACTAAAAGAGAGAATGCTAACAGAGAATTCTAATACTAACAGATAGAATGCTAACAGAGAATGCTAACTGAGAGAAGATTAATACCAACAAAGAATACTATTACTAACAGATAATACTAACAGAAAATACTAACAGAGAGAATACTAACAAAGAGAATACTAATGCTAACAGAGAATACTAATACTAACAGAGAGAATAATAACAAAGAATACTAACAGAGAATACTAATACTAACAGAGAGAATACTAATACTAAAAGAGAATAATAATACTAAAAGAGAGAATACTAACAGAGAATACTAATACTAACAGATAGAATGCTAACAGAGAATACTAACTGAGAGAAGATTAATACCAACAAAGAATACTATTACTAACAG